ATTGTTCTCTTTAAGATCTTTAGGATTTACTTCGACATTACTAGGCAACATTCCTAAAGGTCTATTGCTAAGTGAATTAGCAATTTGTCCCAATTGATTATCCATGTTTCTAATCGCAGCAATTTGACTTTGCAACTAGTTTCCCATTTGCAATACCACATCTTCTATCCTAAAATTGTGTATTATTGTTAGAGTCTAGTGAATATGAAGGTCTATAACTTATGTTCTCCTATTTATTCAAACTTCTATTAGGATTTGCAGGATTATTTTTCCATTGTTGGTTTCCACCCCAAATAGTGTGATTCCAATTAAAATTAGGGTAGTTCTTCCAATCTGGGTTGTAAAAGTTAGAATAAGAGTTGTTTATGGTATTTAAATTCTCATATGATAAGTTAGAATCAACCATATGACCTAATGAACTTTCCTCACTTACTGGAGTAAATTGAGGCTGGTTCATTCCAAATTGGTACAACTTTCTTGATATTGCAACAACCTGAGATGCAAGAATTACAATCGTATCTGTATCATGAACACTAGCTATATTTTTAGGATTTACCCTTGTAGAGTACCACAGAGGGCCATTGAAATTCATTTGTATCCATTTCTTCAACTAACACATATGCTTCATCAAATGAGTTTGACATTAATGATCCACCAGCAACAGTGTCAATTATAAACCTAAGGGATTCTACTAACTTATTATAAAAAGTTTGAATGATTAACCAATCATTAACCAACTTATTATAAAAAGTTTGAATGATTAACCAATCGGGCAGAGTATGGTGTGGACACTTTCTTAGGAGTTCCTTAAATTTCGTATATGCTTCGTATATTAATTCCCCTTTATACTGACAAAATGAGATAATATTGTTTTTATGTTTAGTAGTCCTTGAAGGTGGAAAATAATTAGCCAGGAATTTCTAAGTTAACTCCTCCAAATTTTTAATAGAGTCATGTGCTAATGAGTATAACCACATTTTAGCCTTATCCCTTAGTGAGAAAGTCAAAAATCTTAGTCTGACAGCATTGTCTGACATGTCATTATAACAAAATGTAGCACAAATTTATAGAAAACTGGATCAATGTAAATAGGGATCCTCCGAAGAAGTTTCCCCAAACTGGTTGTTCTGCGCCTGTTGAATAATATCTGGATTTATTTCAAATGAGTCGGCTTCTACGACAGGGTTTTGCATATTTGAGTGAATTTCATTTGTCATAGGATTTATAAAATCCCTCAAAGATTTATAATGATTTTTCAAGTTATTATTTTGAATGTTTTCCAGTTTAATTTCTAGTTCATTCTGTTTTTTGATTTTTTTTCCTTTTTTCTAACTCAGGATCATAAGACATAAGTCTTGTGGATTCTTCATTTCGCATACGCAAGACAACAAACAATGCATTAATAATTAAACAAACAAAATAAAAAATTTATTCAACACAATAAAATATTTTCACAAACACCTTGTTTTTGACACAAATAATTTTTTCACAACACTTTTTCATACAAAAAAAAATTTTCACACAAAAATAATTTTTATGACACTACAATTTTTCCAAGTCTAAGCCTATACTTCAACTAAAATTCTCCTAAAGTTCTTACCGAAGCTTCCCCGACAACGACGCAAAAAACTTGATGCACTCATAGTGCGTGTTTTTTTCTGCGTGTTTTATGTCAATTCAATTCCCCTGAGACAGTGCCAAAAACTTGACCCAATTTATATTTAGCAGCTAATGTATAAAATTAAAATATTATGAAATATAACAAATAGTTCACACACTATGAGTTCTACACAAGTGCACGTATGTCTTCAAGTAATATAGGACTTTCTGATTAAGTCCCGAATATCGATCCCAAGAGGAAGCTAAGAAAGATGTCCTTAGTCAAATTCCGGTCTACTACTATTAGTCCTTAGTTTGGAATGTCGATTAAAATGATGTTTAAATGATGTTTTATCTAGCAATTCTAGCAATTACTCCTAAATGCCAATGTTAAATGTAAGGATAGTAATTATTCCTAAATGTAAATATTAATTTTAAAGATAATCATTTTTGGATGAGTTGGTATAGAGAATTTTAAGATGTTAAAAACTATTATTCTTATGTAGCGAATTGAATAATGTAAAGGAATGAGATACATTAATATTGTATGTAATATTGTACCAAATATGAGCAATTTTAATTCTTTACCTTGATTCAGTGTTATAGAAAATCATTGGTTAATCTTAGGTTTAGTCCATAAATCTGTGGCTAGGCTAGTAGAATACTAGCTCTCACTCCAGAGCTCTCACTTCCCTCCCCATGAAGGCTAACTCTCTCTTTAGTTTTTAAACACTAAGATCAAATTGGGGATTTTTAGTCTGTCACCCTAGAAATCTTCAATTCTACACCCAACAAAGTATATTTTCCTATTTATTTGCACTTAATCCCATGAACAAAATACTCCTTCATGGACTTAAGTGTGATTATTACTCTGTTGTAGAACTCATACTCCATTTCCTGGATCATATGTTTCACAATATATTTTCACAATATGTTTCACAATATATTTTAATAATTCAATTGGCCAAATCAAAAAGTAAATTAAGAGCAGAGTTGAAAAACCATCACAATTTATAATTAAAATTTCTTATAGCATGCATCTCAATATCCTAAACATGAATCCTACTCATTGCAAAGGAAAAGTAAAAAGAAAATTACGACATAATCTTCTCATGTCACTATTTCCAAAAAAGAAGAAAGAGTAAGAGAAACACATCACAAAGCACGAAGAAAACACAACAAAAAACTTCGTTAAATCAAAGCAAATCAATTAGATAAGTGTTTAAAAAATCATAAGATAATGAAGAACACAATACTTAGTTTTTTCCCCTTGAAAGAAAGATAAAAAATCTCTCCCACAAAATTTCCCGCTGATACTTGCAATGCTAGAACATTCCCTTACAGATTCTCTCAAAATCCCCTCACAAATCTCTTCAAAAAGGTAGAAATCTACATTTCTACTTGTATTCTAAGAACTCTAAACATTCTCCACATTTTTCCACTCACACACATCACTTTTTTTGACATAAAATCACTTTTCCACTCACACACATCACTTTTTTTGACATAAAAACACTCTATTATAGTGTAGGGATGAATTTCCCAAGAGATGCCATAAACAACCTTCCAAA